TAATGTCACAGTTTTTCAATGACCATGAAATTCAGAGTCCGGGTAGTTAGTTAATCAATTGTGGCCCTGAAAAAATTTGAAGGAAAAAAAACTGCGAATTTTTAAGAAAATGCTTTTTTCGTGAGAAGGACTCTTAAACGCTGACAAACGTCAACAAATAGCGAAAACTATAATTTCTATATGTTTGCTTTGCTCGAAATCGCGCGCATTTACAAGGCCCTAAAGTGTTTTGCTGACTTGTAAGGACCCATCTGTTATAACGATGTCCAAAATAAAGAGATAAATCTCATAGTTTATTAATTATATATAATCCGTGTAAAGTTTGCTTATCATTTTCGCATAAATTATGACCTAAATTTGGAAACCGCTGAATTTCTCGAATTGGGTCTTTGCGATTTTGGTGAAACTCTGTTCAGCGCAAGGCACTAATGCGCACTACGTGTAGCCGAGAGATTTTCACAAAAAAATGCCGGCAACAGCCGATTTTCGACTCAGACCTCAAAGGGGCGTGGCATTATAACCACGTGACATTTACTCCGATCGCCGAAAATTTTATGTTATATTGTAGATTGATCTATATGTTATCCATTCTATGTGTTAGACTTACGATAAAAGTAAAGGTGGGGATACCAGAGAGCTTCAAAGTAGGATGGTACCCCCTCAAAAAAAAACTGGGTCGAGTCACCTTAATTCCTATTCATTCTGTCGTTACTTTTCTCTTAAAAGGATAACAGGAAATAAAAAGATACTTCGTTATAAACAAGTTTTTTTTTTTCAAAGAAACAAAGAAACAAGCGACATCTCTAGAATGGTGCAAAAACTTGACAACTTGGGTTTGCGGTAAAGAAATGGCCGAGTAGAGTCCTCAAACTTCGATGCGTAGTGTTTCCAGCCCAAAACATATAGGCTTTGATTAGAAAGAAAGAAAGAAAAAAAGCTGAACACTGCTGCACATCACATTAGTTGGCCCCCATTCCCTATTGGCTACGTGTCTTCTGCAGAGTATGACGTACCGTGACGTATCATACTTGGTAGCAAACCTCTGCTTCTTGGTACCACGGACGTTTCCATGGTCACTAAGTTACTCCTTCACACTCAAATGCATGATAACGTCAGACGAGCAAAATTCACCACCAAGCCTCGTTTGTTAGCAAAACTCTTCGCATTTGCACTCTTTTGGGGGTGAATATTCTTTTCAACTGTTCTGCCTTGGGAATTCATTTATGCGAAACTTGGTAGCTTTTAAACTTCAAAACGAGGCTTGATGATGAAATTCCGACGAAAACATACATAAGGCAGGTCATTCCGCAAGTGCTCTTAGATTACTCACAAACTACAGTGTGAAACTAACATTTTTTGTGACTTGTAATTTACCGTGCGTTAAAGATGGTTGAAACTATAAGCACGGCAACTTCCCTTTTTCTTAACATTTTTTTTCCAAGCCTGAATGTAAGCAAATCATCGGTCAATCATCATCCGATTACGGGTTGGCTTAGTGGAAGAAGAAGAACGATACAGGTACCTTATTATAGGAATTAACGCTCCATGAAAACAAGGTATTTTTAAATGAACGCAAATTAATTGAGAAAGACTTTTGAATAAAGAAAATTAAAGCGAAAGAGAGGGAAACATTTCAAAATGAGGGAAATTTAAGCGATGGTCACAAAGACACAAAACTTGTTGAGACAACGGGTACAAAGTTCAACGCATAATCCGAAAATTGAAACTTTGTTCTTGGTACTTTCCCTAAGTACGAACAAGGGACAGGCCATTCTTCACAGCCTGGGGTTGCACTGATACTAGCGGATATCGATCTCGACCCTGATAAAATACTAGTATTTCTTTAATTTTAGGTGTCAAGATTGTCAAGAGTGTACCGAGAATTGAGGCCAAAACAGTCA